TGAAACTGAATCAAGTAGTTTGTGCTTCTGTGAATTTAGATAACTGAAAAGCAGATTGATACTACATATATAAAGTCTTATGTTATGACGTCATGGTAACAGCTGATGTCATCAGTACTATGACGTCATCAATTGCTAATGATGGCTTCACCAATGCACTGTGATGTCATAGTGAAGGCTAGAAATCCAACAAAAACTTCAAATTAGCATCTGACACATTTCTCGAAAGTAATTAACAGTGATATGACATAAGATATTCTTAAATGTCATGTGTATGACATCACAAACACCTATGCTTACTGCCCCCCACCCTTCTTCAAGTGTAATATTAGAAACCCTATTACATTGCAATATTGTTCGAAAAATAGTCTTTTTTACAGCAGTAACTATGGAAATGTAATTTTATGACAATATTAACATGATTGTATGCCCAATCTATGAGAAATACACACACATTATTGAGTAAAAATCATCAAAACAGAGAATTTATCCAAAATTCAAAAACTCATACTTTCCTTCTTAGTTACCATGGATACCACACCTTAAACTATTGGAATTGCCCTATAATGCAGTCTAAATACATTCTAAGGTTGTTACTGACTTATTTCATACCTGTTACCTACTGTAGAACAGTTTTCAAACTGATACCAAGCCTTTTGAAAACAGCTGAAATTCTCACCCACAAGAGCACCCAAATTACCTCCCTTTATGCACCCCTGATGAAATTAAAATAAAATCATTATGAACAAGTTTCAGTGTGTTTTTTATGTATTTATAGCAATTATGGAAAGGATTAAACTTAATTAAACATAGTAAAGCACATTTTAAATAGATTAATTTTTTTTAATGTGCTATAAGGTAGCAGTAAACAGTTAATTTGCATTTTTCCTGAAATTATTTGTCATGTTTGAGATATACAGGTATAGCAGATTGGTTATGAAAAATACATCATTACATGTATATATATTTATAAACTGTATAACAATTACATTAACAGTAGAGAGATGAAATTTGTGTAAAAAAAAAAATTCCTCTGATTTCTGACATTTGATTGTCATGGTTACCTACTGAAAAAATGCTAAAAATGCAAAAATACTGCTAATTCCAATCCAACACTACAACTTTCTAGGAGAAATTTAATTCTAATCACCTATCTTACAATCAACAACACTGTCGTGGTAACAAAGTACTTACATTTCAGCAAATTCCAACTCGGAAATTCTTCATAACATGACCACATGTAAACACTATGAAAATTTCACTTCCTGTAAAGCTAGTTTTTGGTGCGTAGACACAGATTCGAGACTGCCCAAATAGTAATCTCCAACACAAAGCTAAAATATTATCCTGAAAAAAATGAAACCCCACATTGTCCACTTTAACATGACAGGACCAATTTTAGCAAGGATTTTTTTTTTCATTTTTAATTAAAACCTTTATAATGGGGTAATCTAATGAGCAAAAAAATCACCCATGGCCACACCGAGAAACTGTGTACTGCTACCTTATACATCACAATTAGTTTTTTTAATTTCATTAAAATCCCTCTGAGTGTCTAGAAAATGATCACACGAACAAAACAATATATCGCTTTACTGTGTATCTTGAATAGCTATCGAGTAATATGGATTTTCCCGCATGGTGTGTTTTGACCAATTCTGCTCTCAAATTAGGAAGAAAGGGAGGTAATTTGAAAAATTAAAACCTCAATAAGTCTTAAATTTACTTGAATAAAGTTGCAATTGAAACTGAATCAAGTAGTTTGTGCTTCTGTGAATTTAGATAACTGAAAAGCAGATTGATACTACATATATAAAGTCTTATGTTATGACGTCATGGTAACAGCTGATGTCATCAGTACTATGACGTCATCAATTGCTAATGATGGCTTCACCAATGCACTGTGATGTCATAGTGAAGGCTAGAAATCCAACAAAAACTTCAAATTAGCATCTGACACATTTCTCGAAAGTAATTAACAGTGATATGACATAAGATATTCTTAAATGTCATGTGTATGACATCACAAACACCTATGCTTACTGCCCCCCACCCTTCTTCAAGTGTAATATTAGAAACCCTATTACATTGCAATATTGTTCGAAAAATAGTCTTTTTTACAGCAGTAACTATGGAAATGTAATTTTATGACAATATTAACATGATTGTATGCCCAATCTATGAGAAATACACACACATTATTGAGTAAAAATCATCAAAACAGAGAATTTATCCAAAATTCAAAAACTCATACTTTCCTTCTTAGTTACCATGGATACCACACCTTAAACTATTGGAATTGCCCTATAATGCAGTCTAAATACATTCTAAGGTTGTTACTGACTTATTTCATACCTGTTACCTACTGTAGAACAGTTTTCAAACTGATACCAAGCCTTTTGAAAACAGCTGAAATTCTCACCCACAAGAGCACCCAAATTACCTCCCTTTATGCACCCCTGATGAAATTAAAATAAAATCATTATGAACAAGTTTCAGTGTGTTTTTTATGTATTTATAGCAATTATGGAAAGGATTAAACTTAATTAAACATAGTAAAGCACATTTTAAATAGATTAATTTTTTTTAATGTGCTATAAGGTAGCAGTAAACAGTTAATTTGCATTTTTCCTGAAATTATTTGTCATGTTTGAGATATACAGGTATAGCAGATTGGTTATGAAAAATACATCATTACATGTATATATATTTATAAACTGTATAACAATTACATTAACAGTAGAGAGATGAAATTTGTGTAAAAAAAAAAATTCCTCTGATTTCTGACATTTGATTGTCATGGTTACCTACTGAAAAAATGCTAAAAATGCAAAAATACTGCTAATTCCAATCCAACACTACAACTTTCTAGGAGAAATTTAATTCTAATCACCTATCTTACAATCAACAACACTGTCGTGGTAACAAAGTACTTACATTTCAGCAAATTCCAACTCGGAAATTCTTCATAACATGACCACATGTAAACACTATGAAAATTTCACTTCCTGTAAAGCTAGTTTTTGGTGCGTAGACACAGATTCGAGACTGCCCAAATAGTAATCTCCAACACAAAGCTAAAATATTATCCTGAAAAAAATGAAACCCCACATTGTCCACTTTAACATGACAGGACCAATTTTAGCAAGGATTTTTTTTTTCATTTTTAATTAAAACCTTTATAATGGGGTAATCTAATGAGCAAAAAAATCACCCATGGCCACACCGAGAAACTGTGTACTGCTACCTTATACATCACAATTAGTTTTTTTAATTTCATTAAAATCCCTCTGAGTGTCTAGAAAATGATCACACGAACAAAACAATATATCGCTTTACTGTGTATCTTGAATAGCTATCGAGTAATATGGATTTTCCCGCATGGTGTGTTTTGACCAATTCTGCTCTCAAATTAGGAAGAAAGGGAGGTAATTTGAAAAATTAAAACCTCAATAAGTCTTAAATTTACTTGAATAAAGTTGCAATTGAAACTGAATCAAGTAGTTTGTGCTTCTGTGAATTTAGATAACTGAAAAGCAGATTGATACTACATATATAAAGTCTTATGTTATGACGTCATGGTAACAGCTGATGTCATCAGTACTATGACGTCATCAATTGCTAATGATGGCTTCACCAATGCACTGTGATGTCATAGTGAAGGCTAGAAATCCAACAAAAACTTCAAATTAGCATCTGACACATTTCTCGAAAGTAATTAACAGTGATATGACATAAGATATTCTTAAATGTCATGTGTATGACATCACAAACACCTATGCTTACTGCCCCCCACCCTTCTTCAAGTGTAATATTAGAAACCCTATTACATTGCAATATTGTTCGAAAAATAGTCTTTTTTACAGCAGTAACTATGGAAATGTAATTTTATGACAATATTAACATGATTGTATGCCCAATCTATGAGAAATACACACACATTATTGAGTAAAAATCATCAAAACAGAGAATTTATCCAAAATTCAAAAACTCATACTTTCCTTCTTAGTTACCATGGATACCACACCTTAAACTATTGGAATTGCCCTATAATGCAGTCTAAATACATTCTAAGGTTGTTACTGACTTATTTCATACCTGTTACCTACTGTAGAACAGTTTTCAAACTGATACCAAGCCTTTTGAAAACAGCTGAAATTCTCACCCACAAGAGCACCCAAATTACCTCCCTTTATGCACCCCTGATGAAATTAAAATAAAATCATTATGAACAAGTTTCAGTGTGTTTTTTATGTATTTATAGCAATTATGGAAAGGATTAAACTTAATTAAACATAGTAAAGCACATTTTAAATAGATTAATTTTTTTTAATGTGCTATAAGGTAGCAGTAAACAGTTAATTTGCATTTTTCCTGAAATTATTTGTCATGTTTGAGATATACAGGTATAGCAGATTGGTTATGAAAAATACATCATTACATGTATATATATTTATAAACTGTATAACAATTACATTAACAGTAGAGAGATGAAATTTGTGTAAAAAAAAAAATTCCTCTGATTTCTGACATTTGATTGTCATGGTTACCTACTGAAAAAATGCTAAAAATGCAAAAATACTGCTAATTCCAATCCAACACTACAACTTTCTAGGAGAAATTTAATTCTAATCACCTATCTTACAATCAACAACACTGTCGTGGTAACAAAGTACAATTTCACTTCCTGTAAAGCTAGTTTTTGGTGCGTAGACACAGATTCGAGACTGCCCAAATAGTAATCTCCAACACAAAGCTAAAATATTATCCTGAAAAAAATGAAACCCCACATTGTCCACTTTAACATGACAGGACCAATTTTAGCAAGGATTTTTTTTTTCATTTTTAATTAAAACCTTTATAATGGGGTAATCTAATGAGCAAAAAAATCACCCATGGCCACACCGAGAAACTGTGTACTGCTACCCGATGTAAACTTTGCATATCTGTTCAGCGCTTGTAAAAGGTGGGGGAAACAAGGGTTCGAGTAACCCCGAGCGACCTTCTTCGGTTGAATGAACATTACCCGGGCTTGATCTAAAGTTATTTGTACGAAGAAATTGGGATCCTGTTTAAAGGTGAGCTTTTCCCGCAATGCGTTCTAAAATATTTTAAGATGGCGTTGGTAGCATTCGTTTATTTTTAATTTGACATATCACTTAGCACGATTGCAGAATTAAAATCTTTGTCGTCCTGATCAAGATGACCCACCCAGTCAATTTCGAAATAACCCCGGCTGTATTATATATATAGAAACTATAGCAGTTGATAGTATAAGCTACGTGTTGATTTTCGATTTGAAGACCAATTCTTATATTGCTTCTGCTTTTACTAGTGACGTACATCAATGTAAGTATCAAAAAAATTTCATCAGTAAGTCTTCATAGGAGTCCTGAATCACCAAATATTATATTAAGTAGCTTGATATGTTTGTAACAAGCAGTATACGTAAATGTATAGTTGAGTACAAATTATGAACGTGAGGCGAAGAGGTAAGGTACGTTGTGAAAGCTTTCTGTCATCGTTCTATTGTTGATTTGATTATTTAACCAGTGTTTGTATGCTGACTTGAGCAATCTACACACTTACAGTCTAAACTGTATTCCAGTGTTCGATGAAGATGTTGTCAGTGAGTTAGGTACCATTTTAATATAAGTATACACAGACAGGTGAATATATACCATTGAAGATTTATATCATAATTTTTTACATTAATGTTCAGATATTAAATATAGACAAATTTTACTGCCGAAAAAGTAGGATAGTGTTCCCCAAGTGGTATGTTTTCTTGTCTGAATATAATTAAATTCCTAGTAAAAAAAAAATGAACTGTAAACAAGAAAGAACTAATCGGTTTATTTCATGTAATATGCATGGTATGTCATATATTTTGATCTCCATCCCTCTTTTAAATTCTGGCCAAAAGGGCTGTTCAGAAATTACTCAAATTTGGACCATTATTCTGCAATGGGTAATATTCACCGAATTCTTGATTAATCTATAATGTTTGGATGTTTTTGTGGAGGTTTGACAATAATATAAATATGAAATATCAGATGTTCAATGTAAAAATCACATGTGCTCAAGGTGAATTGAAACCAATATGTAGATCTATGGGAAAGGTGAGTGCATAACCGCTGTGCCACCTGACCACCCAAGTACACGTATAAGTAAAAGTCCTGGGCTTGATGAAATTCTTGCAAAGTTCTATCTTATTCAACAAAGATGAATCTAAGAGTTTTTATCCGTCACTTAGATGATAAGCTACCTCATCAATAGAGCTGGATGAAGTGATTCAAAATAACAATAATGAAAAAAAACAACATACAAAACAAAAATTCAAGAACAAATAACTAAATGATTTGTAATGTATCTATATTTATCAGTGTGTTTTATGTCTATTGATTTCCAGCAACACCTACCAATATGGCAGACCAAGCACCAGTTACACAACAACCTGGACAACAACCAGCACCACCTGGTCAGCCTCTTGCTGGACCACCTGGTCAGCCTCCAGCTGGACCACCTGGCCAGCCTATGCCTCACTACAACTATGGTCAGGCTCCTCCTCCAGGAGCCCAGCCTCCAGGTACTGTAGTCATCCTATCTGTAGTCAAGCCCTCCGAACACAAGCTTCATGTGAACATGATTTCAAAGTGAATGTTATTCACAAATTTATTTATCAGGCTTTACGTTTGCTGTCATGATTTTACTGTCTTTGAACAGATGAGACACTATCCTCAAATGGGATAGAAGCATGCTTATAATGATATATATTTGTATGCATTGACTAATTACTTGTACAATGTCATATGCTTTGCTGCTATAATCAAAAATGTAAATAATAAACATGTAAACATACTAAATGAGAATGAAATTTTGCATGTGTGTATCATCACTATGCTGTGTATTTATAGGAACATATCTTATCGTAAACATTCACATAGATTGAGGTTTTTTATTTGGGTACAAACACAACCACTTGTTAGATTTAGTTGATAATTGTAAGTTTGTATTTTTTGTATATCTTAACACAAATTACAAGTAAAACTTCTGTATAGGTTGAAACTGAAATATTTTTATAACATTATTGTATAAGAGATGCCGAAAAAATAAAAAATCAATGTGAATGCTTTTAAGGGCAATTGAAAGATATTATTTCGTGTTTTATACAAAAATATTCAAAATGAAAAAAAAATAGAAAAGAAAAAATGAAAATCTGGTTATCTATTGACCACAGTTGTCGGCCTTGTTGAGAAAGCTAGGAAATGTGTCAGCAACTTAAACTCTATGTATCTAACTTGTAAATTTTAGAAATGTCACTGAAAATAGTTATTTTGTGAAAAATTCATTGTAAGAACATTTTAGGCATTTGGCATTGACTTTCTAAAGAGAGATATGAGTGATAGTCAGTTAATTATTGACAAATAAAAGATCAATGAAGTCACGCATGATCGGTTAAAATAAAATCCTCCTGATCAGGTTCATTCTTTGATATCTACCGTATGTACATCATGTATACAGAATAGTTATAGATGTTGAGGGTATTAGTGTAGTCCTTAAATAGTTGAGTATCTGAATGATAAATATCAGAAAAGGAAGACCATATTCTGACTGTTACAGCAGGCTGTAAACATTTAGTTGCTTTGAATATCCTGTGAACTTTAACACAGGAGAATATAACTTCACGGGCTCCACATTAGTCACCTCTTCTTATCAAATTTATACAAAAGCAGGGAAGACAAGAACATCACTGTAGTATAGTATACCATAATACAAAGAAATTTATTTTGTAAAGAAGCGTAAAACAGAAGAAAATTAGGCCATTCCATGAACCTATATCACACTATATTTACACAGGTGAGTCACATCAAATTTGAAAGGCTGTGAAAACCAAGACATAGTTTGGTTAGCAATAATCCATTACACAACTGCTTCATAATGAATTAGTCAATATTTCCCTATACCTGTATATAGGGCAAAGAAATTAATGTTTCATTGCTACTTAACACTGTCATATGACATAATCTGTTTATAATACATGTATCTCACACATACCATAATGATAGGGTGTAAATAGCAGGGGTGTACAGATGAAGTGATAACCTAAATATACTCTAGGTATGTGACCTGTTGTCATTAGCATACTGGTATTTAATCGGAAGTGTTGTTTGTAATAGTTTTGAAGTGAAATAATATCCAGCATGAAAAATATGTATAGGGAAAGAATTCAGTCTGTCTATAATGGTAGTGACAGCAGGGTTATTTAAATGGTGTCTTTAGAGATTATATCAAACGGGTAAAATATGTTAAACACAGATTAAACAGAGAATGTTAGATAAACACAGGATGAACAAAGCCTTGTAATCAGGATGTTTAGAACGCTGATGAGTGGGACTAAAACAGGAAATAATCAAATATTATAAGCTTTGTCTAGAGTAGATTACTGGTATGACCAGTCATTAAAACTGAGGATGCTGAGATGTGAGATGGCAGGGCTTGCCTGGGATAAGTACAGTACCTACTATATCACTCTTGAGACTTTCTAGAGCACGACTTACTAAGTCTCACTTAATCCACCAGCTATAAAGTTTCTCCTAATAGCTTTTTAATTAACGTTATGTTAATATAATTAATTACCTTCTTCTGAATTCCTATTAAACAACTAGCTTTAGTCCTTGACTAATACTTGACCTAGTGACCTACTACTGGTGTAGTCTACTTCCTGTTTGTGCTATATGTAGTTTGCCAAGGTGGATTGCATCTTTTCACATGATATGATTTGTATCAATTTTAGCACACAGTCATTTTTGTACAGTTTTTTCTGGTCGGTCCAGAACTCCATTTTCAAAATTTTGATGAGCGAGTTCCAATATTAAGCAATATAGTGAGTCCTCAAATTTTGATTGGAGTCCAACAGAAAAATCATGAGTCCAGAACTCAGATATCAGAGTGCCAAAAATCACTGGGGACAACTTTAAGCTCTGTTCCTGTTGAGAAATAAAATACTCTGATAGAGACATTTTTGATATTCTCCTCCATGTAAAACTCCCTGTCGAGTATATCTGGTTTTGACCTGTCAATCTGAATTAAAGACATTAAAGGTAGCAACTAACTGGAAATTGTCATTAGATTCATCAACCCATGGGAAAGATGATGATGATGGTTTTTCGTCTCCCTGACTCTGCATTGGGCATTGTCCCCACAGGAAACATTTGACATTGTTATATAGCTCTATGTACACATGGATACACATGTGATAAGTATGTTTGTCTGTAAATAAAGAATATATTGATAGGTGTGTCCATTTCAGAAAAGACAAACGAATATAGCATTCTGCTCATCTGTTGATTTAATTGTCATGGTAATTAGGAATGGTTGTATTTACATTAAGTGTGAACTGTCAAATTCACACCAAATAGGACCAGATTTGTAAAACAAATAATCTAAACAGAATGTTAAGAGGCAGTTTCTGATCATTTGTTCATATATTTCTTCTGGAGTCAAAGTCTTTCACTTTTTTTTTTTTTTTTAGATTTTTGCTTCTTCACAGAACATTTTTCTCCACTGACAGGTTTTAGAAATTTCTGAAACTCTTCATTCATTAAAAAAGATAGATAAAATACAGAAAAGCTATCTGCTAAAGAGAAAGAAGCAGATTTAAATGTTCACATTTCATTCTATTTCAATTTTTTTGTCAGCAATAAAGATATTTTATGGCCTAAAATTAGTGGTGTACATACCTACAGATGTCCGTAGTGTAGCTGTAGTGTAACAGTATCCTGGTTGTGTATATTGATCTGTTCCTTGTTCTCTTTAGGTACAATCATTGCTGTAGTGTATTTGTCTGGCGCCATCACAATAGGCCCAGCACAGACCTTGTCTATTCATCTACATTGATTGGCATACATTGAACTGTTTCACTAGAATTTTCTGAAGATGTGAACTTTCTGGTAAACGTATGGAAGCTGGCTCATGTGTATTAGATATCCATTACCTGTGTATGTGTATGCTGAATATTTTTTTGATATTGGGGAAAAAAGAATGCAAAGGGAAATTAAGGGATTCAATTAAGTGAATGTTAGTCATGTTGAAAAGGACCAATCTGCCCTTGCATTGTTCATAACCAAACTTTATTTTCATTGTTTTAACCTTTATCAGAGACATCAATCCACTTTGTACAGACATGTCTACTTGATTGTCACGATTGATTTGAAATACCTATTAACAGCTGTTTCCAGACTGGCATATTTGATGAAGATATACAGTATAAACAATGGCTAGATGAGGATATACAGTATAAACAATGGCTAGATGAGGATATACAGTATAGACAATGGTCAGATGAGGATATATGTATAATTATCACTCCTAGTTTTTAATGTCCATTGATTTAGCTCGTAATGTTTTTTTATAATTCATATCCCAGGTATGATAAATGGAACTGTGTTTTATACATTGCTGATTACAGCAACCTTGTCCAGAGATCCTCTCCCTCAGTTTCTGATCTGTATAAAGTTACAGGATTTATTATCCTGATATGAGTTGTCTTTCCCTGAATTACTTTATTTAACTTGTTTTTGGAGGGTTTGTCGAGATTACTTCCATCATCTATGTTTAACCATCGATAGTTTAGGAAAATTTTGTTTTACAGGAAATAATCATTGTGCATATAAACATAATGTATAACCTGAATTATTTTGCATTAAATTCAGAATGTAAAACCTGTAATGTTTGTCTTAAAGGAGGGCTTGACAGAACGATTACGAAATAGTATTTTTTGGTTATTTTTAGACAGAAATGCAATCAGTCATCAGATAACGCTGTCAGTATTTACTATGGTTGATATATCAGTACAGCCATTGTAAGATCTTAACTCTGTTGTATTTTATCAGGTGTGTCTGGTGTGACCTTAGGTCTTGAATACCAATTTATTGATATTGAAGACAAACAATTTTTCAGTATTTGATACTTTAGTGTAAGACAGATTCTACCATGTTACATTATGGTTGCAAATAACACACCTAGGATTTTTATTTACTTTAGATTAAAAAGGTTCTTGGCATTCAACTGCAAAATGGCAGGAAATCAGGACATGATTTTGCTAGTTTATGATATCAGCTGTAGGATTACCTTGGTATATATAGACCTTACATAGGTATTACGCCATACATATGTTGGGCTTGCTATCTAAAGTTTGATTGTAAAGACCTTCAAAAACTTGTTCATGTTAAAAAAATTTACAACACATTCCAATAGAAGTATGAGACAAATGTTGACAGAACAATGGATTAGTTTGTCTAAGTATTCATATGCTGTATGGTAGTATAATTCTTACTTCAAACCTTATAAAGAATTTGTCTTAGCATTACATGTGATAGACTGAGGAATGGCCATGAGACAGAACCTCTGTATAGGATTTACTGTATTTTAGGTACATTGTAGTCCAGTGTTAAAACACGTTATGCCTGTCTCAATATACCATAGTCTCTCATAGTAAAGTCAATATATTGACAGACGGGATTCTTTTGTCCTGAGGCCATGTTGACACTTCATTATTCCTTGTGTGTGTTTCATATTGTATGTAAT